ATAATTGTATCCAAAGTTTTCTTTATTTGGTTTTGTTAAATTAACAGCAATTCCTCTTTAAACATTTGTTCAAGAAGTAAAGATACAGCTGTGCCTGGTATGGTTTTTAAATATGTAGAACTTGTTCATTTGCCATTTCTAGGTAGTATTCAGCTCTAACCTGTAGCGGGGGGAGGTTTGAATAGTGTATTTTTTGTGTGTGAAAATCAATTCCTCAGGAAACCTAATGAATTGCATCTCTTTTAAAGAAAAATTAAATGGGAACTTTCCTCTGTTTACAAGTAAGGCTGTAGTTTTGTACGTTTGCTGTTCTTTTGGGGTAGGTTTGAGACAACTTAATAATTTGAAAATACTTCAGTGTGACCTTTTTGGCTTACTTTAATTAAATGTTGACTATATCCTTTTTCCTAATTTATTGGCATTGAGCATTATGACCTATGAAAATGCATTAAAATGAACATAATCTAAACCAAGGGTATCAAACTCATCTGTGCCACTATTGGATAAGGGGCATGTGGCTGGTCCAGAGAATGGATTAGGCCCACAGACCAGCTCTGCATGCCAGGGCCAGTACTGGCACGGTCACTGCCTGCCATGTGTACCCTGGACTGACCCCATATGGTGCATGCAGTATGTAGTGGTCCAGTCCCTGTGCACTGCATGTGGCACTCACACCAAGCAGGGCTGGTCTGTAGGCCTGATCTGGACTGCCCATGGATCCAGCATGCAGGGCTAGTTCAGTGTGGGTGCTGCATACAGTATGTGTACCAGATGAGCCCTTTGTGCTGCATGCAGACTGGTACATGGTGCAGTGTGCTAAGTCTGAGGCGCATGCTGCATGTGATGCCCAAGCCAGACTGGTCCTGCTCACTAGTTCTCATATGCAGAGCCAGCCCGGTGTGGGCACTGCATGCTGTGCATTCTCCAGACCAGCACCATGTGTAGTGTGCGGAGCAGGTCTAAGACCCACAGGCAGCACTGAAGGCTAGATGGTTGGGCTCCATGGGCCTAATCTTTTTGACACCCCTATTCTAAACACGGCCTCTCTACAGTTAAATTCAAGTGCAAGTCTAATAAAGAAAAACAAGATCACTTTTTTTAATCAATTGTGAAAACTAATGGCCCGTGGCTCTGTTTTTTGGGTTTGTTTTTTAACATCTCGAGTTGCTTTCCTACACAATATGCTTTAGGCTGTGGAAATGAACTCAGGGTTATGGAGAAGTTTGTTTGCTTGTCAAATTCAAAAATACCATTTCAAAAGATGGCAAGTAAGTGGCCTACAAATTATTTATGTGAATGGCTTTTTCCACTAGATCTGTTTTTCTTCCCCAAGAGGAAGCATCATTTTTCATTATATTGTTTGTTGTTATGACCTATATAGCTAATTAAAATTACACTGCCATGTTTAAGTTTGCCCCCACCCCCTTATAGTTTTCTAATGTTTAGTTGACACGCTGTATTTTAAACGTGCAGTATATTTCAGAGTTAGCATCTGCAGCTATCTTGGATAGTGAAGAAACCTGCCATAGTTGGAGATGGCAGTCTATAGGTTCCCATGTAGGCTATAGACAAAAGTACCTGCTCACAAACTTTCATCTGCTGTTAAATTTAAGTATGTTCCTGTAGCCATACAAATTTGTTTGTTATAACTTTGGCCCTGAATGAAACACATGCCTATAGAAGTAGGCAGATGTAATAGTTATGTTGTAACATCTTGTGTCAATTCTTACCTCTCTTCATACCCATAGATAGAAGTTTGTTTTATAAAATTAATGGTGTAGAGCAGCAAGGACAGTTTTACAGATAGGACACTTACAAATGCTCTAGTCCAGAGATGTTGAACATACGACCTGTGGACTCGATCCAGTCCACAGACCTGTTCTGTGTGGCATACTGGGCTATCTGCAGACATGGGTGTATCTAAGATTTTGAAAAGGGAGGTGTAGATAGTGTGGTATATGTAACACAGCAACTATTTTTCTCCAGTTCTAGAGAAGCTAGACACTTCAGTAATAGGCCAAGGTGCTAGCTCTATATTCAGTTTCAGATCAAAGCAAAAACAAATACAGCTATCACAGTGTGTACTAATTTGCTAGATTAACATGCAACAAACTAGACAAAAATAGTCTAAATAGTCAAAAGATATTGTATGATTAGTGCTGTGATCATTATAGGTAAATATATGCCTCATTCAAGTTTATAAAACAAAAGCTAGCCTTGAGAGCCTTGACAGTGCCTTTAGTGCTTAACTGTCAATCATTCTGACATCTGAGTTAATATTCACCTGAGTTAAGGTTTTTTGCTAGAGCTGAAAACAGTCTTCAGGGCTGTGAAATAGTAGAGAGATTACCTGGAATGGCTAACAGGCAGCACAACTGCCGAAGGAAGGATAGAGTTTGCATAGTGCAACATAAAGATCCTTCAAAAGGATAGAGGGTTGTTAACACCCATGAAGTGGGGACAGATAAGCAGGAATCAGGGAGCTGATAGTAAGCCATAAAGTCAATTGTCTCTCTGAACTGCTTGAATAGAAATGCTTCTGCCCCACCCCTCAGTCACTACTGCATTTTCTCCCCCACTTTCTCCTGATCTGCTACTGCAAGTTCAGGGACATGGCTAGGGGGAGTGGCCTGCTGCAGAATTTGGGGCCCTTAAGCCCCTACGTACTTGGCTGTCAACAGCAGGAGGGCAAACAATGTTAAAGTTGCAAACACAACACCAAGCTGATACAGCCCCAATTGCCCTGTGATCATTTGGCTCTGCAGCTGCTGCCTGGGAGAAACCCAACAGTCAGGATCCAGCCAAGAGACCTCTCTAGTCAGTGGAGAACTTTTCACTAAGTCTCCTTTTTTTAAGAACTCGTGTTGTTTGTAACTGTTGATTAGCTTGCACCTTGGTAATAGTATTTTTGGTTGGATGCTCAGTTTGTTCATCTTGGTATAGTTTTCTTGATGTCAGATTGCACCAGCTAGAAATCCCAGAAAATGTTTGGTTCTTATTTCACAGACAGAAAATGAAAGTGGTAGTAAATATTGAGGATGTTTTTCTTCCAATATGTAGATATTGAGCAATACAATATTGTGATTAGTTGAAGCAACATACTAGAATATATTGTTGAGTACCAGAAACTAGAATTCAAATGAGCGAGATGGCAAACCTGCTGAATTGAGACTACTTGTGACTTTAGGCATGGTGATCATAATCAGGTGTACATTGATATTTATTTAAAAAAAATCCAGGGATGAAGCATGTTGCATAAAAAAGTTTCTTCTATATACAGTTTTCATAAATTGAGAAATCTTTTAGGGGAAAGCTTTGGGCTTAGTTGTGCCATGACACAATGAATCTGTTTTCCTTGCTTTTTTTTGTTTTGAATGCCTATGTTTCAAGTTTCCATAAATGCAAATCTGTGTGTGATCTGCCACAGTAGTTTTTTATAGCTTCATTTTTTCGTGTATACTGGAGACTAAACATTTTTATGAGCAAAGGTGTAATTCTGAAACCGAAAACTAGACTTGTATGACTCTGAAACCTAGGAAGATGCTTGTTCTATGGAGTAGGCTTGTTTAAAAATAAGTTGGTTAGGTAACTAATTTGTTCAGGTGTGGTTTGACCAGTCAGATCTACTTTATTACATACTGAGACAAGGTTTTTCCTAAGAATAAAAAAGTAACAATCGCTAACAGAGAAAGCTAACTACTGCCATCTACTTACTGTTGTGGCTACTAATTCAGCATTGTTTATTACTATGTGAGGAGACAGTTGTAATTTCCATGCCAAGGAAAAATGAATGTGCTTAGGACTTGGTCTGTTATCATCAGAAAAAAAATTGAAGAAAATATTTGCAAGATATAAAAAAAAAAAAAAAAATCAGTATTTTATCTTTTGGCTAATATGTGATAAACTTCAGAATAAATGGCAAGACTTTATTTTTAATATTTGAGTGGTCAGTAAAAGCTTTAATTATAATATTTACTGATACCTGCAGAAATTTTATGAAGTTGCAGTAGTTTCTGCTTCATAGTACGTGTATTACCATACCTTCAGTGTTTGAATGTGATTTGGTCTATTGTGCGTAAACACACTTTTTATAACTTTTCACAAATTTTGGTTCTTCTGGTTCTATAGATAGGTAAGTCTGAAACCTGATACTTAAACTTAAGCAACAGCACATATCAGATGAGTTGATGTGATGTGTGGAAAGTTGTTTTGGATTGCTAGCACTTTAATCCTTTCTTCAATTTTGTTATTTATCTCTCTTGTATCTATTGAGCTAAAATCTCAATCTAAAAATATTGAAGTAGTGTTATTAGCTTTGTCCTTCTTGTTTCTAGCTTTAGTCATATAATTGGAAGAATACAGTGATATTGTTTAAAAGTGAGGAAAATATAAAGCCAGATGGTTAATTAGTAGCTATATTACAGTAACTTAAACGTTTTGTTAGTGGATTGGTCTTAAGTCTTCATGTAGAAATCGCGTTCAGTGAATGGTCTGGCTTCAGATAGCCATTCCTTTTTTTAAGCTTCCTCTGCTGCTGTCTTCTGTGTGGAACTCGGTAAATGCACTTTTCCTTGTAATATATCAAATATACTGTATATAGAAATTGTACTAGCCAGTATGCAAGACTTCAGTGCAGATACTTAAGAGCAGTTATAACAGTACTGATTTAAACATTTAAATGCATCTGAATGGTTCTTGCTTATTTGTTCATTGTCCAGCAGTATTTCTGAGAAGGGGGGTCATTTCTTCCTACCCCTCCCCTGCGGTTGCAACAAGTTCGTTCCAGACATTATATGCTCCAGGAGTGTTTATTTGGAATATTCTCCATCCCCTCATCCTCCTGGCCCTTTCCAGTAACCTTTAACTGTTGTTTTAAATTCCTTGCTATAGAAGTGGTTAAACGATTATATTTTGTTAGAGCCTATTTAATATTACGGTTTTTGTTGTAATTATGTGTATTATAAAACATTTCCAAATATTTCCTTAACTTGGATATTCAGATATTTATCCAAACATAATTGCTATGGGTTTTCCTGCAGAGAGGCTTGAAGGAGTGTACCGTAACAACATTGATGATGTAGTATGGGGAGGGGTGGGGGCAGTGAATGGATCCCCTGGATGGAGGTATTTTTTATCCCAGAGATGATTCTGGTTATGGTGCTGAGTATCAACTGCATGGCATGGAGGAAATATGCC